ATCCCCAAGCAGGCTCTGCACTGTTAGCACAGAGTCTGACATGGGGCTTGATCCCATGAACTGTGAGATCATGACCTGAGCCAAAATCAAGAATTGGATGCTCAACCGACTGAGCCACCCATGCGCCCCCTCTCTTCCGTCTTCATAGTGTTTTCTTCCTATCCTTTTACTTCTTGCTTCACTGTAAATGACCTTTTCCACAGGGACCTTTGGGTTTCTTTCTTTAAACTCCACATGTAGACTCTATTAGTCTGTGTACTCCAACATAGAAGGTGAGGCATTGTGAGGTGGTAGAAAGTCTATTAAACTCAGAATCAGGGAATCAAGAATTTAATTCCACCACTGTCTACCTGGGGAAGCCAAACGTGTTCTTTAACTTCTTTGGGTTTCCATTTCCTCACGTACAGGATGGAAAGCATACTTTCCTTCCCCATATTAAAGAAACAATGGATGAATTAGAAAGATAAAAGATAACAGGGTGGGAATAAAAAGTTGGAAGAGTTAAAAATATGGAAGGAAGTATTTAAAACATTTTTTTTAAGTTCATTTATTTATTTTGAGAGAGGGGTGGGGGAGGGGCAGAGAGAGATGGGGAGAGAGAATCCCAAGCAGACTCTGCACTGTCAGCACAGAGCCCAACATGGGGCTCAATCTCACAAACCATGAGATCATCACCTGAGCCAAGATCAAGAGTCAGACACTTAACCGACTGAGCCACCTAGGCACCCCTGGAAGACAATATTAAAGGGCTATTTTTACTTGTAAGAATCTCCTGTAAGCTTTGGACAGGCACATTTGGATCCCACTTTAGAAATCATCCTTGTAATCTTAAAACTCTGGTATGTCTTATCACAGAATAGTTGTGTTTGGGGGAGTATTATCCTTCTCTGTGAGCTTGGTTTTATGTATACTAGTGTGCATATGCAAATGTAAATGGTTATATTGGAATGCAGATTCATTAATTTATAGTGAGAAATGCAACTGGAAAGTTTCACTTGACCCAGCCAGTGTGTTTTCCTCTCCTATTGAGGAAAAAGGGATATGGGAGGCCGGCTTATCTGACAGTTGCTTAGCATGCCTGGAATATAACAAGGGGCATTCTGATGGTGTCTGAAGTTGTCTCTAAGCATCAAGGCAGGTTGAGGCATTCTCATACATTACTTGCCCGGGAAGCTGTCCTATTCAAATCTAGTTAGCCAAGGCATCTTCTCCTCTAGACAGTGCTTGGATAGGCATTGCCTACTTCTGTTGTTCTGCCTTTCCTATTTATATGTTTCCACAATTGACCACTGTCTATCCACATAGCCTTTTATCTATATAGAATATGATTTGATGAGACTTTTGCTCATTAGAATCACATTCTAGCCCTATCTTCTTGAGATTACTGCTCTCCTATTACTTTGCTTCGTGTTTTGGATGTTTCTAAACCCTTTGGTCACAAGTTTACAGATGATACCATGATTTTGTCCCCTAAATAATAAAATCTGTATGGATTATCAGCATAACTTACAGTGGTCACATTTCCAAAACTTTGGTATAGGAGTGTCGCATTGTTGCCTCCAGCTTTAGACCGTTATACAGACATACCTAGAAATCTGGCTAATGAAGTTTGATGTTAGTTAGGCATTCCTAGGAATTTAGGGCCAAAGTTGACAGCGTTCAGGTCTCAGATGGAAACACTTCATTTAATAAAAACTACTCTTCCTTGAAAATTTAGGGGTGCCTAGAAACAACGACTTTAGGTCATTGGATTGTCTGGGCCTCTCTGTTCACCAAACTGCAGTTGTGCTAGGTATCTGTGAACTAATCTACAGACTCATTTTTTATTTAGGATAGAAATGAACTTCTGTGGGTTAACAGTAAGCCAAGTTCTATTGGATTTAATTCTTTTAATTTAGTATTTGTGCTTATGTTTTGAAAGGTAAAGTTAGGAGAAACTTCATGTATCTATGTGAATCATATATCATGTAATTCTACCACTAACTCTCATTTGGTCTTTATTTCAAGATGTTTTCTTCATTAATCTCATATTTTCAATCCTGTCCCCACTTTTTTTCTTTTAAACATGTCCTAAAGAACTATGTTGAAGAATTTAGATAATGCTTCAAGTTTAGAGCCACAGTTTGTACATATCTTTTTAAACTGTATGTATATAGTGATGATATATTTACTTATGATATGTTAGAATTTGTGGGTGTGGTATCTGAGTTTGAATTTTAATTTGGTTTATTCATTCATTCAGCATTCACTTCCAGGGATTAAGAAATTTAGGGTCAGAGTGGTCCACATTATAGTTCATTTGTTATTCTCTCTTATTGGCTAACGGAGAGGCTAGACATTTCTGGTCCTATAATCATGTTTGTCATTACAAATATTTTATCAAAAAACTTATTCCCTCTAGCCTTATTTTATCTTTTTAGATAAATAGATAAAAACAAAAACAAAAACAGGGGCACTTGAGTGGCTCAGTTGGTTGAGCGTAGGACTCGATTTCGGTTTGGGTCATGATCCCGAGGTTGTGGGATCTACACTGCCAGCACAGAGCCTGCTTGGGATTCTCTGTCTCCCTTCTCTCTCTGTCCTTCCTCTGCCCTCTCTCGTGAGCATGCACTCTTCTCTCTCTCTCTCTTTCTCAAAAATAAACATTAAAAAACAAAAAACGAAAAAACCTTTTTTGAGCTCTTTGTAAAAAGTGAATTTTTTACTGTTCTTTAGAGACTTTTCCCCCCAGTGCCTAATGACCATATTAATACTCTATCATTATATTGATATTATTATTGATTATTTTGTTACACTTTAAATTTTGTAGACAGACCTCTTTCCAAATACAAAACTTCAGGAAAAACAAGGGAACAGTCTGGTGCCGAAAAATGGAGCATGCTCCCTTTCGCAGTCTGTGGCCATCACGTATTCTTTATTCCAAGAAAAGAAGATGTCTTTGGTAAGTGTTTTACTTTCAAGTTAGAGGGGATTGTCAAATTTATGTAAACATGTGTTTTATCAGTTTTTCAAATATTAAAGTTGTGACTTGGGATAAAATTCTTACAATCAATCCTACAATATTTTCTATTGTTTCATTTTATATTTAATCAAAAAAATTTGTTTTTAATGTTTTTATTTATTTTCTGAGACAGAGAGAGACAGAGCATGAGTCAGGGAGGGGCAGAGAGAGAGGGAGACACAGAATCTGAAGCAGGCTCCAAGCTCTGAGCTGTCAGCACAGAGCCCGTCTCAAGGGCTCGAACTCAAGGATCGTGAGACCATGACCCGAGCTGAAGTCGGATACTTAACTGACCGAGCCACCCAGGAGCTCCATATGTAATTTTAGACTAGAATGTCATTTTCTTTTTCTGCTAAGGCTACTTTTGTCAGTTAAGTAAAAACAGCAAGTATACTTTGACCATGATTATTTTATAGAGGTTGTATAGAGGTACTGTTAAACACACTTACAGCTTAGGGATATTAGAGCAGCCATATTTTAAGACTCTATTTTTTTTTTAAAGCTGGGACTAATAGTTTAATAACTATTAGCTTATGTATTGATAAAGAATTATCTCCAAGATACATTAAAGGGGAGATGCAGAGCTGTTTGAAAAACATAAATTTGTGTGTATATATATGCATTTTTATTTATTGACATATCCTTGTGTATTATACAGAAATGCATAGAATATCATTGGAAGGATGTCCAAGAAGCTAGAAATAAGTTTAAAAAAAAAAACACTAACAACAAACTTGTTTTCCACTCTGTATCCTCTAATACTATTCTGTTTTTTAAACCATGCCTGATGGTCTTTGAAAAAAATCTTCATTACTATGAAAAATGGCCATATTAATGTTTTTTCATATTCAGTGTTCTGGCCTAAATCCTTAAGGCTGTTGAGGTTTCTTAAAATATACAAAATGAAGAGTATATCTTAGTGAAATAGAGACAGAATTAGGTTTCCATCTAGGTTTAATTAATTTGAATTCCTATCCTGTCATTAAATTGATTTGGAAAAGGCTATATGGTCCAATACCTACTTTTCCTAGTCTCTGTGTCTATTTCTTAGCCTACATTACACTTATTCTGGTTAAAGTCCAGTGTAAATATGAAAAACAGTCCATAGTTTGTCTTCATCACTTAATAGATATTCTAATTAAACAGTCAAATTTCTAAAATTAAAAGTACCAAAGCCATTACAGGAGAAACCAAATAATTCCATTGAACTATTTTTGAAAAAAATTTCTTATTTAAATAGTAATTTACACATGTGTGTTAAATATGCTTATATATACATAAATTGAACATCAATATTTATGGCATAACTGAATATGGTACTAAGAAAATTTGGCATAGCTTCTATAAAGTACATTCTAATACTATGCCATGATATGTGGTTTCATGAAGTTTCAGTATTATATTACATATTCATGGTTAAAAATGTGAAGAATGGTGTATTTTCATTAATGTCTTACGCTATTATTTTGTTGTTTGTTATTGTGTAATATCATGGTATAATTATCTGTTCTTCCCACGGGTCTGAGAGGGTCTGTGCCAGCTAACCACAAAATTAACCATACCTAAGGACTAATTAATCTGGAGCAATAATACAATTAGTTCTAGGTAATTTGATGCCTGGGATCAAATAACCCTGATATTATGCACACATGGTGCATACTGTGTAGTAGAAAAAGGTAGACATTTAATTAAGGTAATTTAAAATCTACCTTTGAAGGATGTAAATAGTGCTTCAAATGTTCTATTCCGTGAAAGTATCGACATTCACATAAATACAATCCAAATTCATACTTCAAAGATATATTAAGAGAGTATCATGAAATAATTTAGAGCTGACTAAACTTTCTGAGTATTTAAAGCAATGTTTTATCTAATGTACATCATAAATGGATTTGGAACTACCTTTGTTTAAAAAGCTACATGAATCTGTAATGCTGTCCTAAATTTAAAACAATTCATCTTAAGTTTAATGCTAGGCAAGAGATGACAGAATAAATTGTGGTTATTATTTTACGAATAGAGCCAATATAAAAACCTTATTAAAGTCTTCTCAAGAACCTTTTATAAAATGCACCTGGAGCCTTACATTATCACTAAGCATTTTAGGACTTGTCTTCTTGGAAATTCATATAACTGAAATACCATGTAGTAGTTCAATTATAGAATATTGGATTACAGTTTCCTCTATTTTCAAAAGGCTGTGGCAGTCAGTAGACTTCCACAGAATGATTACTCTCTACTACTGATAGGTTTTTAAAGTGAATAATTATAGAGGGATTGAGGAATGAGTTCTTAGCTAAAGCTGGATGATTTTGTTTTATTCAATACAGTAAGTATAAAAAGTAGAACTGGAGATGTATAATGTGGGCAGTTTTAAAGAAATAGGAAACTTGAATATTTGGAATGAAAGTTCAGTGCATTGTTTATTTCTCAGTGAACATTTACTACCTGAAGGTTTTGGACCTTTTATTTGCATACAGTACCGTGCAAACATTTGAAGCCTCACTGGTTCTTTTGTTCCTGTTTCTCTAGATGAGGATAGCTGAGAATAGGATTCTGCCTCTCACAGCAGTTGGCATGCACTTATCCCAGGCGGTGAGAGCTGGCTGCCCACTTGATACGGAGCGAGCAGGCCTGACTCCAGAGGTTCAGAAGATTATTGCTGATGTTATCCGAAACCCTCCCATCAACTCAGGTGATCACTGTGACCCTCGTCTACAGCCTTAATGACTTGAGTCACTGAACCCAGATGAAGTAAACAAGCAATCCACTAATATTTTTCACTTCACCAGCATTAACCCTTTATGCTACTATGAAAATTTACTTTGGTAATGCTTGTTAATTGTTCTTCAAAACCAGTCTTTCTTCCCATTACCACTCAGAGGAGACTGCATCTGAGAAATTCTTGGTTTCCTTTTCGGCTTTAGAATACAACTTCCACTACCCCCAAGACAATGAACTTTCATCCTTTTCTAACTTCTGCTTCACCCCTTGAAAACAACACGTTTTTTTCCCATGTTCATTTCCCGTATTGACTTCTCACTTCCCCTTGAATCTTACAGATTCCTTGTCATTTGTTTCACTGAAGTAGCCTTATTCTACAATTCTTATTCAGTACAATCAGTGGTCTCAGTCAGTGTGATGTTGAAGGGCTGGTCCCAGGTCTCTAGGCCCCCATGTAGAATGGTGTCCTCTTGTCACTTTGCTGCAGAACCTCAGCCGTGCTGAGACCAAGTTTCTTGCCCTGCAGAAACTTAAAAATTATCTGTTTTTTACAGAATTAAAGATGAACTACCTCAGAAGATTTTTCTCCCTACATGTGCAACCTGGGCATGTTAGCATTCAATAAATCCGATAAATATTTCCACATTCTTAGGGCAGAGCAGTAGACATACAAAAAGCCTTATCTCCAAAACCGCAATGCAAATACTTAAGTTTTTATTAACTCAGATTCGTTACCACTTGGGAACAACTAGGCAGTTCCCCCCCAAAATTTGGAAATAAGGGAAATAAGATCACCTTCTGAAAGCACAGTCAATACTATATTAAATTGGTTAGAACAAAGATATTAAAGTCACCTTAAAAGGCAGCAATAATTCTAGGTTTGAGGAAAGCTTGACTGAAGGCCTAAAGAAAGGACACCTTCATCGCTTCCATTGATCAACTATGGAGGCAGAGGGGGAAGACAAAGACAAAGAGGCAAGTGTGGGTAGTAGTCATCTAAATTATTCCCAGAGAACTAAAATTTTTCTTTCTTTTTACCTTAAAAGATTGATTATTTATTTATTTATTTATTTACATTTCTTTCTTTCCTTTGGATAATATCTGTGCCCAGTGTGGGGCTCAAACTCACAACCCTGAGATAAAGAATCACATGCTCTCTCAATTGAGTCAGGCACCCCTAAAATATTTGTTTTAATTATACCATATGAAAGTTGTACTGCCAACTATTTCAAAAAAACAAACATTCAAGTTCTGATCCTGGCCAATGAGACTTCAAGCATATTAAGGGCCTATTGATTAGTTATCCCAAGATCTTATTTGAGTATTTGAGGAAGACATTTCAGCAACTAATTCTGCTTCTATATCACTTCCTTGCCTTCTGGTTATAATTTGAGTTCTCAAGTAGATCTGTCTGTAGGGAAAGTATGCTAGTCTTTCTGTGTGATAATTGTGAATTCATAATTGTAAATCAGGGAATTGACAGCTCGTGAGCATGGCTAATGTGGATCTGTTAAGGTTAAAGTAGGTCTCTAAATCTGAAAACCTGAGTGTTGTATCACAGACTGTGATAAAACATCCAAGCTTACTTAGCCGTGAATCATCTTATGAGAAAGCTAGGCAGCTGTCCTGGTCACATTCCCATTGTTCCAACTCCAGCAGCCACCTACCTTGAAATTAAGGTAGAGGAAGGAAAACCGTAATTACTTTGTAGGGTTAGAACTATGATTATATCAAACCTCTCTTTCTCCAATGCAAAGTAAAATAGTATTGTAAAGGAAGTCAAAGACTCTGATGCCTTCTTGATTTTAATACTTGTGGAATTATTTTTTTCCTTTGTGTATGTATAATCTCTCAGGACTTAAAGAAATGTTTGTCTTTTGATGAGGCTGTTGGGTAGTAGGTGGTATTCTCTGAAAGAGTTTGTGCAGTTTTTTTCCTTTTTCCTTTTTGTTTTTTTGCTTCCTGTTGACCATCGTGTTTGGTATCATTGGCTACCTTCCTTAAATCCTGAAGACTGGCGAATGTGTCAGCCTGGTCAGTGAGAGCAAAGTCTCTGGTGACTGCTGACCTGTTTCAGTGTAGGCTTACCATTTCACAGCTATGTGACCTTGGGCAAATTACCCAATCTCCCCAAGCCCCAGTTTTCCTCATCTTAAAATTTTTTTTTAATTTTTTTTTAATTTTGTGTGTGTGTGTGTGTGTGTGTGTGTGTGTGTGTGTGTGTGTGTGAGAGAGAGAGAGAGAGACAGAGACAGAGACAGAGAGCAAGCAGGGGAGGGAGAGAGGGAGACACAGAATCCGAAGCATGCTCCAGGCTCAGAGCTGTCAGCACAGAGCCCAATGGGGGGCTCAAACTCATGAACCGCAAGATCATGACCGAAGCGGTAGCCAGATGCACTGGCAGCGCTGTGCAGAGGTGCTCAAACCCATAAACTGAGAGATAATGACCTGAGCCGAGACCAAGAGTGGAATGCTTAACCGACTGAGCCACCCAGGTGTCCCTTGGGCAGATATTCTTGAATGACATAAAATAGATGTTCTAATTTCGATTCATTATTGGCAGAGGGAAATGGTAGGGAAGGATTTAACATTCTAGTATTTAGCCAATTATTGACAACATCTATTTTATTTGGCTATGGTAAAGAATCCAGGTGTTCCTAATTTGCTTTACAAATCATATAGTTGTAAAATTACAGGATTTTTTAGACCTGGAAAGGAAATTGGAAATCATTAAATTTTCACTGTGCTAATCCAGCCCTGTTTCAGAGATAGGAATTTGAGGCCTAGAGAGTTGCAGATTGTTTTCATATCATGTCAAGATTAATGACTGAGCAAGTTTTTCTTTTTATTATACGATGTTTAAGCGTACTGCCAACTATTTAAAGAAAGAAATATGCAGTTTCTAATCCTGGTGTAAGATTTGGGTTTATAAACCTCTCATTGATGGGTAAAATAAATATACTTACATATAATCAGGTTAACATATTTATATGTCTAGTATCTTTAAATATTCTCTAGTCTCCTCTACATTCTGAGTTTAGCAATTTCCATTTCTGATGTCAGACAACTTTTTAAATTAAGAAATATTAAGGGGCGCCTGGGTGGCTCAGTTGGTTAAGCGTCCAACTTCAGCTCAGGTCATGATCTCACAGTCCGTGAATTCGAGCCCCACACCAGGCTCTGTGCTGACAGCTCAGAGCCTGGAGCCTACTTCAGATTTTGTGTGTCCCTCTCTCTCTGCCTCTACCCCACTCATGCTCTGTCTGTCTGTCTGTCTCTCTCTCTCTCTCTCTCTCAAAAATAAAAAAATATTTTAAAAATTAAAAAACAAAACAAAACAAAAAACATTTGTCTTGGGGCTCCTGGCTGGCTCAGCAGTTGAGTGTCCAGCTCTTGATTTCAGCTCAAGTTATCATCTTGCGGTTTGTGGGATCCAGCCCAGTGTCCAGCTCTATGCTGACAGAGTGGAACCTGCTTGGGATTCTTTCTCTCCCTCTCTCTCGCTCTCTCTCCCCCTCCCCTGCTTGTATATGCACATGATCTTTCTCTCTCTCTCAAAATAGATAACAACAACAAAAAAATTTGTCTTTACCACTATATACTGAATATAGCAAATAAATTTTCATTTAGAGATTCATACTAAATTGAAATTCTACATAAAGAAAACTTTGAAATCTACTTATTAAACATTTAATTCATCTTTCTGCCTATATACTCTATGTAGGTTATACATATAATGTGAAAAAATATATTATTGTAGTTTACTTCCAAAGCCAAAATTGAGAAAGTTAGATTTTGAGAACTATGAGCTCTAAATTTTATTTAGTGTGTAAGATAACACTTATTGAAATGTGAAATTTTACTTTTGAATTTTTGTTTTTCCTTGATACTTGATAAGAGAAATACTATTCTCTAGTCAGAGAAGACATTTTTGAATTATAAATTGTAATAAGAAATGAAGATGTACGTACTACATTAATGACTCAGATGCATTATTTTCATGTTTTATTTAACTGTAGCCATATTATATAATTTGGTGTTTTAGTGAACAGGTTTGATTGGCATTTAAATTCTGCAAAATACTGAATTGAGAATTTTCTATTATTTTATTATGGCCTAATCTTATACCTGAAAACAGAGTATTTGTGAATTGAGAAATCACATGTATTATTTTCATGCTGTCTTATTTGCTAAGTAGGTTTTGTCCTTGTTATTTAATATTTACAGAAGTTTTAAAACTTTTTAATGTTTTAGTTTATCCATGTTTATGTAATTTTAAGATTTTTTATGGAGTTGAAATTGTAACTATGCTTAATAAATTAGGCAAGACATTTAATGAGGTGTCTGGATAATATTTGAATAATCTCATTCTTCCATTGTTTATGTGCATGTAACTGGAAAATTAAGGGTGGCTTCCAAGGGACCTGCCACAAAACTAGGAGTAATATGATCTCTTTTAAAGCTTTGCAGCCAGTGTTCATTATTCTCCAGTAGAAATTTTCAGCACTTACTTTCCTTTAAAGCTAGGGCAGGAGATGTATCTTTAATGCTAGATGCCCCTTATTTGCAGGTATATGTTGTAGGATGACTTTAAGATAAAAATATTGGGGCGCCTGGGTGGCGCAGTCGGTTAAGCGTCCAACTTCGGCTCAGGTCATGATCTCACGGTCCGTGAGTTCGAGCCCCGCGTCAGGCTCTGTGCTGACAGCTCAGAGTCTGGAGCCTGCTTCAGATTCTGTGTCTCCCTCTCTCTCTGCCCCTCCCCTGTTCATGTTCTGTCTCTCTCTGTCTCAAAAATAAATCAACGTTAAGATAAAAATATTAAGGGTACTTACAGAAATGTGTAATGTGAATATAAGGATTTTCTAATTATATCTAGAAATTATATTCAAATTATAGTACAATAACTTTATACATTTATTAATCATTAACAGTGGTTTAAAACTATAAGCAAATGTTTACACATCATACTTTTATGAAAAGAAGACATTCTAATTTCAGAAACACATTGTTTCAAATGGAATAAAATATCTCATTTTTCCTTTCAAAATAATTCATTGAATCTATGATGCCATGATAATTCAAAGTTATTGAACTATGTTTCCAAAGAATTCGCTTGTATAATGTACATTTACAGTATGATGAAATTAAGGATGTATAGTTTATTTACCCAGGACTTAAATACCCATAGAAGAAAATAAATGTAATATAATATAGTCGTGTTAGTTGGCTGGAGTACAGGAAATTTTGTATGGTTTTTCTAGGGCAGCACTATCCAAAACGAAATATGATATGAACCATACATGCAATTTTATTTTTTTAATTAACAAAATTTTTTAATTGAAGTATAGTTGACACACAGTGTTACATTAGTTTCTGATGTGCAGCATAGAGATTCAACAAGTCTATATATTATTATTCATATATGCAATTTTAAGTTTTCTAGTGGCCACATTAAAAAAGCAAAAGATAAAACAGAAAAGTAAAAATAAACAGATGTATTAATTCTAATTATATAATTTATTTTTTTTTTAATTTTTTTTTCAACGTTTATTTATTTTTGGGACAGAGAGAGACAGAGCATGAACGGGGGAGGGGCAGAGAGAGAGGGAGACACAGAATCGGAAACAGGCTCCAGGCTCTGAGCTATCAGCCCAGAGCCCGACGCGGGGCTCGAACTCACGGACCGCGAGATCGTGACCTGGCTGAAGTCGGACGCTTAACCGACTGCGCCACCCAGGCGCCCCTAATTATATAATTTAATTAACTCAATGTATTAAAAATGTTACCAATTTTAGCATAAAATCAATATAAAATTATTGAGATATTTTGTTTATTTTTTGTACTATGCCTTTGAAATTGTGTATGCATTTTATATTTATAGCATATGTCAATTTTGATAGTAAATTGTAATCGAAAATACTTGATCTGTATTTAGCTTTCATAAATTGACAGCTGAATAAAGTAGATGAAGATACTCAATGTGTTCCAAACGTATGTAAAATTTTTCTGATAAGTGAATCAAGTGTCAGTTTTCAAATTAAAAAAATTTTTTTTCAACGTTTATTTATTTTTGGGACAGAGAGAGACAGAGCATGAATGGGGGAGGGGCAGAGAGAGAGGGAGACACAGAATCGAAAACAGGCTCCAGGCTCCGAGCCATCAGCCCAGAGCCCGACGCGGGGCTCGAACTCACGGACCGCGAGATCGTGACCTGGCTGAAGTCGGACGCTTAACCGACTGCGCCACCCAGGCGCCCCTCAGTTTTCAAATTTAATTTTAAATTAAGTTTGCTTAAAATTAAGTATTGAGTTCCTTAGCCACACTAGCCACATTTCAGGTAGCTACATGTGGGTAGTGCTTATAGTATGAGATAGCACAGTTATAGAGGTAGTTTGCCAATATGTATGAAAACATAAATGTGTTTACCCTTTGAACTAGCAATCCCACTTCTAAGAATCTAGAAATCTGGAAAAATAAACATAATGTAATGTTCATTGGAAAAAAAATTTTTTTTTTTTGAAAGAAAACCTGAAGACCTGAAAGGGAGCTCAGACACAGACTTCTCAGCCATTAAGAAATTAATGAAGTAGTAAAATGGGCCAAATTTCTGTGGTGTTTGGATGGTATAATGGCCAAAGGGCAAGTAGAATTTTAGTTGGTTGATAGATTTGGCAGTCACATTGCTAATTTTAGTACATTTAGAGTTAATCTTATGTTTCCAGGTTTAAAAAAAATTTTTTTTTAATGTTTATTTATTTTTGAGAAAGAGAAAGAGTGAGAGAGGGTGTGAGTAGGGGAGGGACAGAGAGAGAGAGAGAGACACAGAATCCGAAGCAGGCTCCAGGCTCTGAGCTGTCAGCACAGAGCTTGACGTGGGGCTCCAACTCACAAACCAGGAGATCATGACCAAGAAGCCAAAGTTGGACGTTCAACCGACTGAGACATCCAGGCACCCCTTATCTTTCCAAGTTTTTGATTAGAATCAGTTTCACATTTTAAAACTTTAAAGTTAGAAAGAGTAGAGGCGAAATCATTGATACCCCATGGTCTTAGTTTTCCATTAGCTGTGTAACCTTTTCTCTTCCTGTTGCGTTTTTTTGTAACTGCAGTGTTTTTTTTTTGTTTGTTTGTTTGTTTGTTTAAGTCCAAGAGTAGCAAGATAAGATCTTTGAAAGGAGAATATAAACCTTGAAAAGTGGAATAATTGAAAGACCGCCTTTTCAGGGTGGCATTGTGAATTTGAATTGGGTGTCAGAAATGTTTTATACTAGTTTTATAATTACATGAAGATGAGTGAATAGATTCTAAGCTGCTTAGTTTTAAGCTACTCCTAGAACATTTCACATGAATGTGATGTTGGAAGTGTTTGAAACATAAGTAGTGGTCTGTGGGAGATCGCTAAATAATTTGTAAAAGGTTCAGTGAAGACACAACACACAGTTGAATCAGTTCTGTTGAGTTACAAATTAAAAATTCCTTGTTATTTCTTTCTCAGAAAACTCAGTTACTATGCATTTTAAATAGTGTGTTCTGTTATGCTACACTATCTATTGAAAGGATCTTTTTTTTATTAGCATTTTATTTACAAGTGTGATTACCTTCTATCTTAAGAATAAGTCATTTTCATGGGGCACCTGGGTGGCTCAGTTGGTTAAGTGTCCGACTTTGGCTTAAGTCATGATCTCATGGTCCGTGGGTTCAAGCCTTGTGTTGGGCTTTGTGCTGACAGCTCGAAGCCTGGAGCCTGCTTCAGATTCTGTGTCTCCCTCTCTCTCTGCTCCTCCCCCACTCGCACTCTTTCTCTCTCTCAAAAAATAAACATTAAAAAAATTTTAAGAATAAGTCATTTTCAAAAATGATTGTAATTGATATTTGGAATTTGAAGCATAATTCCTTTAGAAACAGTTCTGTAGATAGTGGTTTCTCAGGGCACCTCACAAAAAGCAGTTTGAAACATAATTTATATGAATTCGCTGGCATTGACCTGACTTTGAGTCTTGGAGGCAAGGGCTAATTGCAGGTGGTGCACAGGTGAGGGGAGGACACATTTTACTTAATTTCTGTTTGTAGGGCTGTAGGCATTTGAAAGAGGAACATTTTCTTTGGACACCCTCCTCCCTGCTTTCTACAAAATATTTCACTATTTTCAGCTCAGAGCTTTCTAAAATGTTCTGTGTAATTTATTTTTAAATCTTATTTTTTCATGCTTTACAGATATAAATAAAATCAAACTTATTAGAGCATTGGTTCCTAAAAACATTGACACATACCTTATCCATATGGCAATTGAGATCCTGGAAAAAGATGGTGACAACAGACGGTTAGACCAGCTTTCCTGTGATTCCACCAGAAAGAGATGTTTCCCCAACTCTGAAGAGAGCTGTTCAAGTTCTAAGAGAAGCAAGGAAGAAGAAGTAGGTGCTAATACCAAGGTGTTAATTATATGTAGAATTTTCATACAGTGTCAGTTGGTTCAATTTACATATTCTAATACTAGAATGCTGTATTTTTTAAATGTATAAATTCTGATATAAGGTTACTTTTTAATCTGTGCTTTATTTCTTTTGTTTTTCATAAATCTTATTTGAGGAAAGTGATTTTTTAAATGACAGAAAAAGGGACATGTAGCCCATCTATTTAGCTTTTTGTGTGGATTATCAGCTTAAATTTTACGTCTACCTCATCCTGGCTATATGTAGCCTGACAATTCTCTTTCTTTCATAGACATAGTTAATATTGGCTTTGAGCATTTGGCAGTTTATGTAGTTAATGAAAAGGAAAACAAATTTTATTACAAATACCCCCCAAAGTCAGTGTGTCTGTCATTCTGTCATTCATCATGCTTTGTTCCTATTATACTGAATCTTTCAGGCACAGGAGTAATTATTGTACATGGTCCTGAGTATATCCCAGCATACTTTTTGCATGATCAGAGAAAGATCATGAGTTTAGTATTATTTTAGATGGTATATTTATTAAAATTAAATGCTTTGGAAATTATTGCTCTGCATGTTGGATGAGATGACTGTTCTTTGGTAATGATTCTATTAAATGATTGAATAATTTGAAAATTTAACCTTCAGTATCTTGTAGCTGAAATTATATGACTACATGATAAAAGTTGTGAAAACTAATAATTAACTAGAAAGCATAGTAGTAGGTGGTTGCTAATATTTATGGTAGGGCATTAGGGATTCCATTTCAGTTCTAAGGTAGTCCTTGTGGGATTTCCAGCAGTTAAACTGCTTTTCTCAATAGTTTAAAAATGAGAGGAACTGGTGTTTTTAAATTCTGTACTTCAGTTAGGTTTGCATTTAGACATGTCCTAGATAACCTAATGAAATTGGATTAAATTGGACTTCTTTTCATTATTTACACAATTGAGCTAGCTATAAGAAGGACATAAAAGAGAATATATGTTGGGATGGTGGTAGTGAAATTTGGCTTCTGTTTCCCAGCCTTTTATTTCTGAAATCTATACCAAGTGCCTAAAACCTTAATTTTTATATTTTATTTTATTAAAAAAAATTTTTTTAACATTTATTCCTTTTTGAGAGACAGAGCATGAGCAGGAGAAGTGCAGAGAGAGGGGGGGAGACACAGAATCTGAAGCAGGCTCCAGGCTCTGAGCTGTCAGCACAGAGCCTGATGCATGGCTCAAGCCCACTGAGCTCAAGCTCACTGTCAAGATCATCACCTGAGCCAAGACGCTTAACCAACTGAGCCACCCAGGCACCCCTAAACCCTTAAATTTTTACCAGCTTCTACCTATCAGTAAAGGAAAAGGTCTAACTTGTTATTTTTTCCTGATTATCGGTACACATTTATGTGAAATACTGTATTTAATAACATATTAGCATTTGGCTTTTCCCTTATCGAAATAGCATCAGATGCCGACAACAGAGTGGGGAGATTTGGGGGGACTGGGTGAATGGGTGGAAGTCATGCTGAGCCTACTGGATGTAGTCCTCTCCCCCCACCCCCATTTAGAGGAACAAGGTTATTGGGGCTAGGAGGTGGATTAAGAGAGGAGTGAGCCAGCCAAAGTATTTTTCTTTCAACCTCCTCCCAAGTACAGAAAGTATTCTACCCTGAATACTGTAGAGCTGGTTTCACGTATTTCCTATGTGAACACTCATCTTTTCTGCTAACCTGGGTTGTATCTCTTAGTCTATTTCATCATAAGATTATGAGTTTTCTAATACATAATAATGTGAAAACAAATTCACACACAAATCTGTTTTTAGACACAAATCTGAAGCAGGCTCCAGGCCTGATGTGGGGCTCGAACTCACAAGCTGTGAGATGACCTGAGCTGAAGTCAGACACTTAACTGACTGAGCCACCCAGGCATCCCTTTGAAACCATTTTGAAACATAATAAAACATAACAAGTAATTGATGAACAATATATAGGTAGAGTTTTCATTCTTGAAATTAAATAAATTATGCTTTTTACCTTAAGGTAACAGACACATTATACCTTAGATGAGCTCACCTTATCATAAATCTTTCACATAGTTCAATAACTAAACCAACTCTGCTAGACTCCAAGGTATACTCCTGTCAGACTGATTTTTTTGTCATGTTAGTGTGAGGCTCTGTGGTCAAACTGAGATAACACTAATTAATACCATTTTAGGCTTATGGGACATAACTTAAAATTGTTTTATCTTTTTCAAGTGCAGATCATAAGGACACAGCCACTGCCTTTGGGTTCTTAAAAATTTTTTTTCAGGGACTTTTTGACTTAGGGTTCTGAGGCTTCATTTGGTGTACAAATAAATCCCCTAAAATTGTTAGAAGTGGATCTCCAGTTTTTAGCAGATTCTCCAAAGAGTCTTTGAGCCAAAAAACAAAAATTGTTTTCATTTATTCACTGGCTGTTTTTTGAGTATCTATTACGTTTTGGCAAGTCTGCAAGATGTCGGTGGTTGCTGAAACCACTCTGTAGTCAGTCTGCCATTGGAGACATAGAAATATATTTTTTCAAATGCTTAATGTGATTCTGTGTGTGTGTGTGTGTGCGCGCGCACACACATGTGCACACACGCCCAAGCAGATGCCTTCCTCTGAACATTAAATTAACCATGTTGGTCAACCTAGAGCAAATATACATGAGACATAAATCTGAAATAATACCCAGTTCTTTCCTTCTCAAATGTGTGTGTATGCTTAAGTGCCTAATAATAAAAAAACAAGATGGCAGGCATTTGCCTAAAGAGATGATACAGTGATTTTGTCTCTGTTTTCTTTATTTACTTTTCATCCAGAAATAAATCCTGTAGCTCTCACTATTTTGTTTTACTCAGCAAGGGAAGGGTGGTGGGTGTATATTCATTCAGTAACCTATGTTACTTTTTACAACTGACATACATTTTCAATATTATAAATATGTCTTTTTCTCTTTCTTTCCTATAGATTTCACTTGTAACCTCAATGAGAAAATTACCTGAGTGGTTTGCCAAAGAAAATGAGACTTCAGCTGAGACCAGCAAGCAATCAATGGCCAAAACAAAAAAGAGAGGTCTTTTTAGTTAAATTGGTGATTGCCAGAGGAATTATGTGTGTCTTGCTGTATTATAAGAGGGGATCTTGTTTCATTTCTGAAAATAGCGGGGGCCAACATTTCAGTTTAAAAATTATTCTAATCTCTAAAGTAAAACTCACCTATTTGTTGAACAGCTGGCATCTCCTTGTACAGTTACTTGAGTCTTCTGAGAGCCTGAGTGAGTACATCATAGAATAGAGTAATAGTTTCCTTTAAGATTGCTTTAAGAAACTCTGTTACTGCTCAGTTTTCTAATCTCTTTATTTCAACAGTATATTTGGAAATTTTAAGGAGTGGTGATTTGATATAAATAACAGATTGGTAGTTGTGTGGTGATTGTGCGTGTGATATAAATTCTTCATATATTACCAAAATTCATTCTTGTGAATTAAGGAAGCATAGTTATTTTACAATTGTCCTTGCTATCTTTAGAAGAAACTCTTACATACATTGATAAATGGTATTAGTAAACCAGACCAGTGAAAATTAAGCATTTTGGATTCCATGTAAGTAGGGAAAAATAATATTACAAAGGAGACCAATTGCATTGGGCATCTGTGCCCTTTGATTTTATATACTACTTTTTTTATTTTTCAAATAATAAATTCCTTCATACTGAATGTTACAAAGATATATATATGTATATATATATATTTTTTTAACTTTTATTTGCTTAATTACTTTGAGCACCTTTAGTTTTTGAGGATGTTGGATTCGATTCTAATACTTCTTTATGCAGTATGTGCAACTTTAGTATCAAACCCATACTCTGGCACTGGGTTTTATAAACCATAGTTAATATAACTTTAACCAGTTCACCATATGGCCTTTAACTGACTTTTCTGTGACTAAAGATAATTGTTGTTAATAAAGAAGAAATATTGCAGAAGAAGTAGAAAATCCAGAGAAATGAAAAAAAAAAAAAAATCGCCGGTGGTTTTACCATTAGGTAATCAGTTGACCCCTTTTGTGTATCCTGCTAAACCTCTTTATATTCACTTTATTTCTTTGTTATATTAATAATACATGAATGTATTTACTTTGTAAACACTTAAGTGAAAACACAAAGTCCTCTGTAATCCCATTTCTCACCATGTCAGTACCAGCCCCTTTCCAGAAGGTAGACCCTATTAAATGTGACCTATAGCTCTCTAATCATTCTTCATTCATTTACATGCTTTACATATACATCTACACCCACATTCTTGCTTTTCAACATGAATCAGAGTGCACTACGTGCAATTTCCTGCAATAAACTCTTTTCACTTAATATGTTATGAAGAACTTTCCATTTGAGTATATATATTGGTCTGTCTCATTTTTTTATAGCTACATACCATTATATCTGATGAATATACTATAAAGTTATATAATCACTTCTCTCGGTGATTTTTGTCATTTTTCTAAATTTCAGATTATGTCTAGAAGTAGAATTAGTCAAATTTATATTTCACTTGAAATGCTCTGAACATTTTTTTTTCTCATGTCATTAAGTTGTTTTCCACAGATCCTTTTTTTGTGGCTTTCTATAGTACAGGGATTCTGAAAGTGTGTGGTCTGCAGACTTTTAGGAATCTTTGAGCCCCTTTCAGGGGACCTGCAAAGACAAAACTATCTTCATCATCTCAAGACATTATCTGCCTTTTGTCCTCTGTTGCGATATGTGCCGAGTCGTGAGTAAAACCACTGGTGCTTCAGTGCAGATCACGGCAGTGACACCAAATTATTGATTTTACTAATTCTCAGTCCTTAACACACTTTGCTCTGTACCAATGTGTGATGGTGCCCTCCAGAAAAAGCACTTGTTTAATTGTTTGAATTGTGAATTGAATTAGTTCTTTTTTTCCATGGAATACCATTTTTACTGAAAAGAATGACAAAACTGTGATTGGTTATTCAGACTTGGGTGTTTGGTGAACATTTTCTCAAAACTGAATGAAGCCACCCTATCACTTCAAGGAAAACTGATGGTTATTTGTTGCCAGTGATAAAATTTGAGATTACTGGTGGAATTCATAGTTTTGGAAAACTTATGTCTGCTACCAGGAGTTTGAAAGCTTCCCATAATATAAAGACTTTTCTAATGAGATGTTAATCCTGTGGTTAATACATTTTTTGTTATCGTACAATGGTTTTGTCAACATTTAGAAGATCTGCATAACTCAGTGAATTAATATTTTCTGGATGACTAATATATGATCTTATAAAATCATGCATGGGGGGTAAATGATTCATTCAAACCACACAATAGCCCAGTGGATTTTAATGTAGCAGAGTAGGAAAACGTTCATTTATACTTTCAGATATAAATGTTTCATATTACGCACTGCACCCAATCTTTAAGAAACTACAGGTGTCCGGGACACCTGAGTGGCTCAGTCAGTTAAGCGACTGACTTTGGCTCAGGTCATGATCTCAACGGTTCATGAGTTCGAGCCCTGCGTCAGGCTCTGTGCTGACAGCTCAGAGTCTGGAGCCCACTTCATCCTGTGTTTCCCTCTGTCTGCCCCTCCCCCTCTTACACTCTGTCTCTCACTCTGTGTCAAAAATAAATAAACATTAAAAAAAATTTTTTTTTAATAAAAAAAAAACTACAGGTGTCCAGCTTTGGTATAGTTCCAAAGAAGCGTGTCTATAATTATCTCGAAAAGCTATTAAAATACTCCTCCCCTTTTGCAACTACTTGCCTGTTTAATGTCATACTTTTCTTCAGAAACATCAACCAAAAGAATGCATATTGAAACAGACTGAATATAGAAGCAAATCTGAGAATCCAGACACCTCTGTTAAGCCAGACAATGCAATTCTTCTCACTATTTTGTGGGGGATATTTTTTAAAGATGTATTTATGTTACCATGTGATGGATTTACTGCTGCTTTTTTAAAATTAATAAACATTTCTTTAAAATTTCTCAGTTTTAATTTCTAAAATGGTAAATAGTGATAGATATAACCAACATTAAGAAAAACACTTTTGGGTCCTCAGTAATTTTTAAGAATATAAAGGAGGTCTGAGACATACGCTGACATAGTATTTTCTTATATACACATACTATGAATTATTTAGCTGATTTCCTATTGTTGCACATTAAATCACACCCAATTTCTCTCCTATTTTAATGCACTGCTTTGAACATTCTTGAAATGAAATATGGTAAGAACTGATTAAGAACTGATGAACTGGACTTTAGTCTCCCAGTTGTATCATCATTCTTCAGCAATTCTTGGGCCACAAGCTGGCCTCAGGTTCATTCTTAAAAACAAAGGGTTTCTGGGGGCACGTGGGTAGCTCAGTCAGTTAAGCATTCAACTCTTGATTTCAGCTCAGGTCATGATCTCACGATTTGTGGGATTGAACTCTGCATCAGGCTCTGCACTGACAGTGTGGAGCCTGCTTGGGATTCTCTCTCTCTCTCTCTCTCTCTCTCTCTCTCTCTCTCTCAAAATAAATAAATAAAAGCTTAAAAAAACAAGGGGTTTCTTTTAGGGTATTTGTCTTATGCTATCTCCTCTACAAAGTATTCATTAGGATCTCTTTGTGTTGTTTGTCATTTGGAATTTTGATTATGGAGTCAGACAACACCCTGACATTTATTTAGAATTTATTTAAAAAAAAACAAAAACCTGTGTAGAATAAGAAAAGAATATAGAATAGTTAGAATAAAAAAGAATATAGGATTCTTCCTGTCCAAAGAGGTTGTAATAGAAGTAACTAAGAACATGAAAGATCCAGTGGCATGGCTATAAAGTCATTTTTTTTTAATGTTTATTTATTTTTGAGAGAGGCGGGGAACTGAGGAGGGGCAGAGAGAGAGGGAGACAGAAGACCCAAAGTGGACTGTGCACTGACAGCAGAGAGCCCAATGAGGGGCTCAGTTCATGACCTGAACTGAAGTCGGACGGTTAACCGACTGATCCACCCAGGTGCCCTCTAAAGTCTTTTTAGAGATGACTAGACATTTATCTGTCTTATGGGAAGCAAAGAAATGCAAAATCAACAAAAACACTGAAGAGAGTTCACTGCAGTCTTAATGGAAGCTGAAAACTTAGGAGTCTTGGCCACCTGAGAAAGTGCCACATAATGAATTTTTCTTAGGAAGGCAATCCAAAGATCATTTGGGATAAAGTACATACATCCTTACTAGGTAAATGTATTTAAACTTTGGAAAAGATTAAAAATAAGTAGAACATAAATTAAACCTTTGGTAATAATATTTTAGGATTAAGGAATAATAGGTATATATTTGATATTGTGAGCATTTGAAATGCTGGAGATAATTTAGCTTTTAGAGGAACAGCTTATTCCTGTGACTTCAATTTAAAATGTATCATTGAAAAATTAGCATATGCTTGTTCTTTTAAAGTTGAAATTATACCAAGTTTAACACATTATTGGAATATTTAATAAGAATTAAAAAATTTGTTACTGCATGAAATTCTATCACCAACAAATTACACTTGTAGGAGGAAGAAAAAAGATCTAATATTATGCTTACTGTTAATACTAGGCTTAATATTAATATTAGTATCCATTCATTAAACCCAGAGCTTTCATTATTTTTCAGAAAATTAATGAAACTTCAGCCTTACATCCAGCTTCATCTTCTAACTCAATTTAAAAGGATTAATGAGAAGCGCGTACTCAGTTATTCAATACTTCTGCATTCAATAAACGTTGGCATTCATAGGATGCTAGATAATAGACTGGCTTCACAAGGAAGGAACAAATAGAAGAAGAAAACACAACATGGATCCCATGCCTAAGAGACAAGAAGATATGCTCTGTGAAGAATTAACAAAAAAGCATCTCACAAAAGTATTTTCTTACAGGAAGCAAGATATTTTGAAGAAGATATTTACATCATGAAGTCTATAAGATACAAGAAAACAATGACCAATGTGAAAGAAAAAAAAAAGGAGACCATATAAAGGAATCATGAAGCTGATCATTCATTAAGCATTTGCCGTGGCCACACCCTGGGCAGTTAGC